ACTCTCCCCTGCGGATGGCCTGGTAGGCGTTCTGAAGGGCCAGCAGGCTGGAGGAGCAGGCCGTGTCCAGAGCGATGCTGGGCCCTGCAAGCGAGAGGCTCTAACAGGGCGCCCCCCCCATTCGCCCCAGCCCCCCTTCCTGGGGGGAGCCAGAGGCCGGGAGGGGCCGGGTGGGGACCCACCTTTAAAATCAAAGAAGAAGGAGAGGCGGTTGGCCATCATAGCCCGCTGGCAGCCCACCATGCTGTAGCCCAGGAGAGTCTCGGGGTCTCGGCTCAGAGCCTCTGAGGCTTCCGAGCCGCTCACGCCCACCCAGACGCCTGTGTGTGTCCCTCGCAGGGTAGCCGGGTTGATGCCTGCAGGAGACAATGGTAGAGCCTGGCAGCCAGGCCTGCTAGAGAGCACCCAGCCCACACCCACTCCAGGGGCGAGGCCTCACCGGCTTGGGTGTGGGGGACCCCATCTCAGCCTAACTCTGGAGGAGCCTGAGCAGGACAGCCGGCCCAGGTAGGGCTGAGGACAGGTAAGTGGGTCACGAGGAACCAGAGGCCCAAGGGACAGATGGGGCTCCAGGCTCTGGGGTTAGGCAGAGGCCAGAGACAGCTGGAGGTAAGGACAGAAGGCAGCATTGTCCCCAGGATACTCCCTTGGCCCCTGGTGTCACCAGCAGGGTCTGGCAAGCCCCGATGACCAATGAGCACCCAAGCACCAAGGGCAGCCTACTCTAGGACGAGCTGAGATAAGGAGACAGAGGAAGACAAAGGCTAAGTGTCCAGGCTGGGAAAGGAGGGAGGGACCCTGGCCAGCCCCTGGGGAATGGCGTCCAAGGTCTCTGGGTGGGGCCCGGGCAGTGGGAAGCCTCTGCCAGCCTTTCACCTCAAGGTGCTGTGTGCAGGTCGGGCCCCGGGCCTGGCCAGCACCTGCTGCAGGGTGAGAGAGCCGAAAGGCCAGGACTGGCCCCCACCCCCACCTGCCGAGGCACCACACCCACATGGCTGGCCTCCTCTCCATGCCCCTGGGGCGGCAGGGACAGGTGTGCTCCCCGTGACAAAGGACAGCTGCCTTGAGGTACCCATCCAAGGCCAGACACGGCCCAGAGAGAGGAGTGGAGAGTGGGAGTCCTGGGGGCAGAATCCCGCCTCCTGCCCTGCCTGGCACTCCACCGGGTTCCCGAGATCAGCTGTACGTTGGGGAGGGAGGAAACTGGGCCACCTGGGCATGTCAGGGACACCTTGGTGTGCAGTTGTGAAACCCCCGACCTGCTGACAGGCCTACGCCTCCCAAGACCATTGGCCCTGGACCAGGGCCCAGGAGAGCCACGGTGGCTTCTGCTTCTGCCTGGATTTCTGCGCTTTGACACTTCTACCCTGAGCACAGGTTGCTTTTAGAGGCGAGAAAGGACAACGCTGTCGTGTCTTCTGGGGGAGCGGGGACTGCAGAGACTGGCCCCCGGCCCTGAGGTGGCCACAGTTGGCCAGCGGCCTCCCGAGGACCCACCTCCATCCAGGATGGCCTCGTAGGTGACCTCCAGTAGCAAGCGCAGCTGGGGGTCCATCGTGTGAGCCTGCTTTGGGTGGACCCCGAAGAAGGAGGCATCGAACTTGGACAGGTCCTTTAGCTTGCCGGTACGCTTGGGCAGGCCGTAGAGTCCTGCAGACAGAGGCAGGTGGAGGGCTGTGGGCCCCGAGTGACCGACAGCAAAGCCCCTGCTGTGATGGGGAGCCGCAAGCTCTCCAGGGGGACCAGGCAGCAGCCCCAGAAGCAGGGCCTAGTGCTGCTGGGCCTGGGGTACCCCTGGCACCACGTGGCCGACTGAGACCCCAGCCGTGCTCTGAGAAGGGGACCTGTTGGGCGGGCCTCAGAGCAGAGCACAGTGGGGACGGTGCCTCCCCCGACCCACCGCTGTCCTAGCCGGAGACCCTCTCTGCCTGGCCTGCCGTTGCCTGGCTGCTGAGATCGGGCCAGACTCTACCGTGCTGACTCACATCCCGTAGATCAGGTAGAGCCGCTCTGCAAAAAATCCTACTGGGCGGGAGGGAGTCAGACCAGCTTCCCAAAAGAGCCTGGTGTCTTATCTGACGGCCCGGGACTCGTGGGCCGGCAGGGACAGAGTAGTGGGTGGCGGGGCCAGAAGCACCTGCCCGCCTGGCCTCACCCCGGCTCTGCTCCCCCAGCAGATCACCTGGCTTGACTATAACATGGGCGGATGCACGCCCGGGTTGGCCCTCAGCCTCCCAGTCCCCAGCTCCGAGGCCCCTCCGGGCAGCAAGGCTCTGCAGTTAGGACTGGGACTCAGGCTGGAGCTGGTCTGCTCTGGGCAGCCGGGAGGCGGCACCCACAGCAAGCACAGGAGAGGGGAGCCTCAGGACCACCCACTCACCTGCCTTCCACCTCCTGTCATCGTCTGTCACCATGTCCACGCCACCGATGAGGTTGGCCCAGAACTCCTCCATGTTCTCTGACTCGGGCAGCTTCCCGGACATGCCAGCAATCACAACGTCCTCCATGGCTGCTCTGTGCAGGGGGAGTGATGTGGGGGCCTGGCGCTGGTCAGATCCGGCTGCCAGACCACCAGGCTGCAGCCTCTCCCCTGGCTTTCTAACCCCACAGCACCACCTACGGGTTTGTGAGCGGTGAGACCCAGATCCAGGAGGCCAGCTCCTGTGCCCTGGGCTGGCCAGGACAGACGCCTCAGGTGTATGGGGGAGTCCACACTGGTCCAGCCAGCCCTTACTTTTCACTGGGAGGACTGAACCCTCTGGCCTTTGGCACTGGCCTGGCACTTCTGGGGCCCTGGCCTGGGGTGACCACCACCCCCCCCATGGCCCTGCTGCCTCATATCTGGACCCCAACAGTCCCTGCAACCTCTGCAACCTGCCGCTGGGGTGCTCCTGGGAGAGGGCCTCACAGAGGGCAGCAGGCAAGGCCATCCCAGAAGGGCCGAACTCTTCCTAAGACAAGACCGCTGGGCACTCGATCTGTTAAGAGCTAACCCAGTGAATCAAGCAAACAAGAAAGAAAGGGTACTGAGGTTTGAAGGAAGGAAATATGGCAGTGGGGGAACGCCAGCCCACTCTAACCAGTCAGTGGGCCCTGCACTCCAGTGCATCCCAGGCCGCTCTCCATGCTGGGGGCAGGGGCCGACTGTCACTCAGGGCAGCCCTCAAACTGCACCTAAATCTCGAAGGGCTCTGGGGAAAAGACGGCCCCTGCCCAGAGTTGGACCCACCCAGCCAGTCTAGCCCCTCCAGCAGGCAGAGTCGTTCCTGGTCCTGGCCTGCAAGTGCCGCCCAGGCCCGCACACCTGTGCAGGTGAGGAGGCATCGGGACACTGCTGGCCTAACTCCACACAGCCTGCCTGGCCATCCGGACTAAGGTCCCCGAGGCCCCCCGTGCAGAGAAAGCCCAGGCCACCCTGGGCTTAGGGGTCCAGGAACCCCTGGACAGCCCCTGAAGAAGGGTGCAAGGCCAGGGTTACTCTGGCAACTTCCGCCAAGGCCCGAAGGCCTCGTGGCACTAATGAGCGGCAGACACGCCAGCCCGCCGCCCTCCCGGGTCTCCGGGTCCCTCTGAGCAAGGGCGCGTGAGCCGAAAGCAGCGTCTTCCTTGGGCGGCGCGGCGGCCCCGAGTCCCGGCCGGGAGGGAGCCCGCACCCCCGGCGCTGAATAAAGAGCCCTTTGGCGGCCCGGAGGCTCCAGCGCTCGGGCGGCAGCTTCCTCCTGAGCGCGCCCGCTGTTCTCCCTACTTGCTATTCACGCCGAGTCCGGCGCGGCCCGGGCAGGGGCTGGAGACCCCGCGGCGCCGACCTCGCCCCGCCGCCACCGCCAGCCCGCCCTCCAGAACTTCGGGGTTCCGCGCGGCGCCCACGTGATGGAGACTGGTGCCCCCCCCCACCCCCGCCGTGCTCCCGGAGCCCTGGATCGCGCTGGGCCGCGTCCCTCCGGCACCGGGCGCGGGGGGTGCCGCGGGCGGAAGGGGTCGGCGGCCA